TGTCTCAAAATAAAAAATCATTTCGACGTAAATTCAATCAATTTTGTTACGTATTATCCTTTTTGCAGTCATTTCCTTTATAAATACTCCTACCTACGTACTCTAGGATGTTGTGCAATGGACGTGTGTTTGTATAAATTTCTTTTTACGAAGATTTCTCAATAATTACTATACGGTCATGTAAATAATTTATGTAGGTTCCCAATGAACTATGATTTCACGTGAAACATGAAAGTTTTTTCTTTAAAAAAAAAAGGTCATCTACTAACTTAATGTCAAGTAGGGTATGTTTTTTAAACAAACTATTATCGCGTTGTCGATAGCTATCAACCAGAGTATATCTCGTTTCTTTAAATCATAGACTTAATATAAAATTTCGTAAACCGTTTGTTACTCAATCAAGCAAAAACGGCCGAACAGATTTTGATGTATTTTGGCACATATATAGTTTGTTATGTTAACTGGATAAAGATATAGGATACTTATTAATCCGAAAAAATGTTAGGTTCCTGGCGTATTCTCAAAAAACTAAAGTTAACGCGGACGAAATCGCAGACGATCGCTAGTCATCTATAAATCGTATGTCGCGTGCAGGTTACCAAATTCCCTACCAAATCTTATAAACATAAAAATGAAATATTCACCGAAACGCGTCAAAGTTCCGGACATTCAAATTCAACACGACACGAGAAACGATGTCACGAACAAAGCAAACCCCTTCAGACATTCCCTTTCCATCAACGAAAAATGCCTTAGCGCTAACAAAACCTTTGACAAAACGACCCCCTGTACCTACTACTATCCGTACATAATGAATATTTATCAGATAAAGGTTTGTCGTATCTCCACTAAGGGTATTAAGACAAGATGTTCAGAATCCCCGGAATTAAAATATTCATAGGCTGCCAAGGAGAATTATTTCGCATGCAAGCCCCTTGTGACTACACTCTGCAAGTCACTATAGTAAACATTGTGATTCTAAAGGTGTTTCCTTACCCGAACTGTGACCCAAATCCGTGTACTAAAAGTGTTAGTGTTGTGTAACAACAAATATACTGGAAGCAAGGATTTTTACTTCGATGCTCTTTAGCGAAGGGCTGACAATTTCATTTTGAAATTGTCTTATTTTATTTATAACATAACGATTTACGACCTCCGTGGCCGAGTGGTTTATATGCCGGGTTTCATGGTGTCGCCGACTCGAGGGGTCCCGGGTTCGAATCCCGGTGGGGGCAGATGTTTGTGTGATGAATACGAGCATTTATACTCCAGTCATGGATGTTTAATATGTATTTCTATTTTAATATACTTATATATTATGTATTGTATATGTATTATGGAGGAGCTCGATGGCGCAGGTGGCTAGCGCGTTCGGCTGCGATCGTTGAAGTTAAGCAACTTTCGCAGTGGTCGGTCATTGGATGGGTGACCAAAAATTTACTATCTCGAGCTCCTCCGTGCTTCGGAAGGTACGTTAAGCCGTTGGTCCCGGCTGCATTTGCAGTCGTTAGCACCCACCAATCCGCACTGGGCCCGCGTGGTGGGTCATGGCTCAATCTCCCTATTCCATCCATAGGGAAGGCCTGTGCCCCAGCAGTGGGGACATTAATAGGCTGATGATGATGATGATGATATGTATTCTGTCCGTTACCCTAGCATCCCATAACACAAGCCTTACAGTGCTTACTTTGGGGCTAGCCCTGTAATAGCCTAGGCTATTAGCCTATCTTCTACTATATAAAAATAAGTCGGGTTTTCCTTCCTGACGCTATAACTCCAGAACGCACGAACCGATTTCCACGGTTTTGCATTCGTTGGAAAGGTCTCGGGCTCCGTGAGGTTTATAGCAAAGAAAATTCAGGAAAAATTAAAAAAAAAACTTCTTTTAATCACCAAACGAAATGTTACATAAAACGAAGCCATCTGGTGGCGAAACGGAGTTCGCCGGGTTTGCTAGTATAATATAAAAATAAGTCGGGTTTTCCTTCCTGACGCTATAACTCCAGAACGCACGAACCGATTTCCACGGTTTTGCTTTCGTTGGAAAGGTCTCGGGCTTCGTGAGGTTTATAGCAAAGAAAGTTCAGGAAAAATTAAAAAAAAAAACTTCTTTTAATCACCAAACGAAATGTTACATAAAACGAAGCCATCTGGTGGCGAAACGGAGTTCGCCGGGTTTGCTAGTTAGCCTATATAATTATAAGATAGGCTACAGGTTACAACAAAGTACTAAACGTTTAGGTTAAGCCGTTTAGGATAGCGATATTGTTGAAAGCGTTTACAACTAAAACCGCTTCAAAGGTGTTACCTACAATTTATGTGAGCGCTAATTCAAGTACCTTAAATTCTGATGGACGTGGATTGTGAATTATAAATACATTAACATTACAACAATCTGCTTTTACCGTAAGCAAACTAAGTATTATAAGTACTGTCACGCCCGCAGACTTATGATCCAATTTGCTTATTAATTGTCAAGTGCCAATGGCTAGCATTTAAGATAATTATTAAATAAAACTAAAGACAATTTTACTAGGAAAAATTCCACGCGGACTAGGCAGCAGACGGGACTCGAACCCGCACCCTTCGCTATACGGGCGAACGCACTGCTACTGCGAACCTGACGGCCAACTGGCCATTATGCTACTCCGACCCTTTTTTTTTTGTGACGAGGGGAAATGCAGTTACGCACCATACTGTGACGCTGACTAGGCGCACGGCGTGTGTGGGACTCGCCGCCACGGGAAACAGTGCCGACCCTACTCAAGCAGGACCAGTGCGGAAGGCCACACTGATCCTACTCCACTAAAACCCCCCGGTACCCTCCTACGCCCATATGGGGGCAATGCTACTCCGACCCTGACGGCCATGTCGAATTTTCTCGAGCCTTTCTTAAGCTGCAAGGCAGCGCCAGTCCTTCGCATTGTAGGTAACCCGCAATGTCAAATGATTACAATTACAAGTATTAAACATTTGAAACACTACAATGCGATAAATACCGCTAAAAAAGAATTTCTATCAATAAAACGCACAGTCAGTGTAAGCAGTTGATTTGCTATCTCGAATAATGTGTATTCGATGGCGTATGGCAGGCAACAATTATGTAGCTATCTCTTAGATACAGTACTTTGGTCCTTGTTCGTTCTTAATCGGACATTATTGAGACAAGCTGCATTAGCTCTTAGCTTACGCAGTCGACGATGTTAAAAACCTTTATTTGTGTTAAATGTTAAAAACCAGTTGTGGTGTATCTAGATACACCACAACTGCTCTAAATGTGTCCTAATCAAGAAGTGCTTGAACGCCACTCAAGCACTTTTAGGTTCACAGTCACGCGCGGACCGTTGAAAAGTTAACATGCCGCAGAGCTCCGTGAAAAAATGCGAATAAAATACTTATAAAACGTATAGTGTCGTTTTATCGACATAAATATAATATATAAATAAATATTTACAACACTCATACCAATTAGCCTAGCTCCAAAGTAGGCACTACAAGGCTTGTGTTATGGGATACTAGGGTAACGGATAGAATACATACACTGTACCTATATAAGCATATTTTTATTTAGAAATACATATGAAACATCCATGACTGGAGTACAAATGCTCGTATTCATCACACAAACATCTGCCTCCACCGGGATTCGAACCCAGGACCTTTCGATTCGGCGACATCATGAAACCGGGCGTACAAACCATTCGACCACGGAGGTCGTCAAATATATCATTCAATGTATGTTAATTTGACGCATTTGAAGAAAAGTTCTAATACTTAGTATAAGCCGATTTAATAGAAAATATTTGTGTTATTCAAATGCATGATCGGTTATATAGCTGTATCTTTTTTTCGCACGCTGTACCTGCTATATTACAGCGCATTTGGAATTACGCGTAGAATCAAAGAAATAAAGTCTATCTTCTTCCGCCTATAGCAACAAGTCGTAAAATTTTACAAGCATGTATTTCGTACTGTCGTAACTGTTTGACGCATGCGTTTGAATTAAGACCTTATATACTTCGCACTAAATCATCAACAGTCCATCCTAGTCCACTGCTGGACATAGGCCTCTCCGATTGCACGCCACGCAGATCGATCTTGGGCTACTCGCATCCAGCTCCTGCCAGCCACCTTGCGTAAATCGTCACTCCACCGTGCCTGAGGACGTCCTACACTACGTTTGCCTAGACGCGGTCTCCACTCCAGAACTCGCACTAAAGGTGACTTTGAATGTTTAAATAATGCCTTACATCGTTTTTGACAACATGATCATCCCATGGAGAGTACAATGTACCTTTTGGACAGGTTTCGGCTTAGATTAAAACAAAAAGGGAAGATACGGCATTCGCGGCCCAAAAGTGATCCGCTTAAATTGTGGTGCACGATCACAATTCCCTTTAGTCACAATTGGACATGCAAACATGCTGCATGTGTACTCATTTAAAAATATTGCGTATATTCTATGTTATAAAGATAAAACAATGCCTTCGATGCTTTTATAAAGAACACAAATACTTCAAGATAAAATAACAAATGCCTCGGAAACACTTTTCATTCGTGGAACTATGAAAACATACATATAAAATATGTAGGTATATAAAATTATGATATTCTCATTTATTTGTATTTACCTATGTACAAATGAGACAATACCTATTAAAATTTGATGGAAAAGTTTTGGGAACAGCCACCCTATACAAAAGGGTCTGTTGAAATGTTTCACAATATGCTTTACTGTGGGTATAAAATAAGAATAAAAATAAACACAGAAACGGAAGTTTTAAAGTGACATAAATATTCTACTCTTTATTTTTGCATTTTGTAATTTAGTATGTGTTTTTGGGCTTTTAAAATCTGTTTCGAAAAGTACCTGCTATAGTGATTATTATATGTTTGAAATAGCGATTTTCGGTTTAGGGCATCTGGATTGAAAATTAAATCGTCTCAATTATCTATTTCAAAGTAGCATAATAAGATTATGAAAATATTTTATAACATACCTGGCACTCGTAAGTTCCATTGTCTCTTTTCTGCACGAACTTGATTTGTAGCGTCCAGTCTTCTGAGCCCTCGCCGTGTAACACCTAAAAAAGTATACGTTTTTAAACAGAGTCTAATTGAAATGGTATAATTATTTAACTCATTTTTGATTTCAATCTGAAGAAATAAATCTTTTAATTTTTTGAACTTTTGATGTTTTAAACTTCCATGGTCACTAACATGAGGGTTAATCATCTATGTCTGCAGTGAACATGTATTAATTGTATTAATTTGTGATGCAAATAAATGAGTGAATTGAATTGAATTGAAAATTAACGTGACTGTTACGAGTCCTGGATATTTCGGCACTGATGCAAGCAATATTGAATAGAAAAACTAAAAATTAAGGAATGAAGAGATATTGTGATCCTCTCGGTTGAGCGAACAATAGAAATTGCCTGTGTGGAACTGGACCGGGTCATGATCATGTAAAAACAAGTTACATGGTAGCAATCCCGTTAATAACATAAATTACTATAATTATCTAACTTGAAACTTACTTCAATAATAAAATTACGATTAAAGCACACTGCAATGTGCAAAGCTATAATAAACGTTAGAAAACATCCGAAGGAAGGAAACGTAAAAAAAAATCGGCGCACTTTTTCTTTTGTGGCGAAAAACAAAAGAAAAAGCATATTTCCGGCCTGACAAATTCATAGCGGATGAATAGAAAGCAAATTATCTTCCAGTAGGTATATTTTTTTTCGGTGCAAAGGAATTTCCTCACAAAAGTTGTTGCTCAACTCATCTCCGCTTTAATTGCAAGTCATTTGTGGGAACCAATGAGGTTTTTATTCCAGCGCGCCGCCCGTTAAAACATAAACGTCAGCAATCGCTAATTGGCGTGCCATGGAATAGCTGACTTCTTACAAACGCATTTTTTTTAGCACTAGGTTAAGTATTTTCTTTTGGAGAGGGGAGTAATTAAAGGGTTTCTCTCGCTGCAAAGGGTACGTTTAAGGTTAAAAAATATTTTCTACTATGTAAGTCATTTGTCCCACCGTTAACGATGGACGAAAGCGAGAAGAGCTAGAAACTAGAAACGACTAGGTGAGCAGCGGAAAGCGAGTGTATAGTTCCGTTAGTTTTATCGCTGGACTACAAGACGAGTGTGCGAGTACGACGGGCGATAATTTGCGCCACTCGCTCACGGAGACAATACAGTGCAAAAATACACGAATTAAAAAAAAAAATGCAACAGCCGAGCATCGCTGAGTCAGTATCACTGAGCGAGTATTACCTTTGAAGGTTTTTGTCGATAAACTAGTGGAGAGAGTTCTCACTGGCAATGTGAACAGTCTGCGATCAGCATTTTTTTAAATTATTTGGAATGTATATCTACTGTACGTTCCTTGAGCAAGAAAATAGCTCATAGTTAGTCGCTTACGCGCCGGCGGTGGAACAACTGCCTGCAAAAGTACGCTGTAAGTTTGATAGCACAGACTATTGAATAAAAGCGGTATGCGTTATGCGGTATGTGATCCGGGATGCGTTTGTCCGGGAATTTTCGTCTTAGAAGAGTAAGTTGTTTATTTCCAGACTCAATGGGTCTGGAATATGGTGGGTATGCTCAAGGATTATCGCTGTAGAATTGAGGCATTCGTCTCACTTACCTGGAATCGTTCGTCGTTCGTGTATGTGAACTTCCCAGAGCTCAGTATGTGCCAATCCCTTTTTCTGATCCATGAGACTTGCTGCAAGAAAAAAAGGCTAACAATGTAAAAAGAAGAAAAAAAAAACATATTTCTTTTCAGTGGTAATGAAGAATAAGTATAATAATTTCAAAGTAATGAAAGGCATAAAATGTCAACGCTTCTTTAGGCGACTGACAGACCGACCTTCTTTTTGAATTTTATGTTTTAGATGAAAGATTATCTTTTCCATGTGCTTGAATCTTAAAAGCAGACGCAGCGACGCGACGCTACAATTATCGCTTATTTAAAATTCATTTTGCATTTTATTTAAGTATTGTGATTCGAGTTCTTCAATAGTTTTATATTAAACTACACAGCTACCACTCGGGACTTCATCAGCGTTAGCTTTAGTTTTATGAGAATCTCACAGGAACTTAACATTTTCCCGGGATAAAAAGTATCCTATGTCTCAATCCAAGTCATAAACTATATGCGTAGCAAATTTCATTGAAATCCCTTCAGTAGTTTTAGCGTAACTGAGCAACAAACATACAAACTTTCACATCTATTATATTAAGTAGGAAGTAGGATTCAGGGACAGCCTTCTGTACTTAAGGGTGCCTTAAGATATTCTAAGGCAGGTTTAACGTCACTGAAAAAAGGTAAATTCTGAATTAAGGGTACATTTTATTAACTTGACTTGTACTTTGTGACACAGGCAAAGCATCTATAGTAGCGTTTTCCTGCCGTTTTATTAAAAATAGACTTTTTCGTTCAAGGGTTCCAAGAAGTAGTATAGAAATGCTGTGACCCTTGTGTGATGTTAGTGACGTTAAGCATTAGTCCCTTGTCAGCCTACGTATGGTAGCTTATAGTTCATTTTATTAATACTAACGCCTTTTTCGTTCAATCGACCTACGCGCCAAGTGACAGTTTTGACAAGCTGATCTATCTAGCTGGGCTATGACGGTAATATCCTCGTATTTTGAGGAAATATCAGTATTTTCATTCAACCTTTTAAAGGATTTTTTTAGAGTGTATGCTGTTGATCGCAGATGACCTTTACAGCATCACCGGATTTTGGGATGGTGAGATCCTAAGGGGACCTTAAGCCGAGAATTGGCGAGTGCCTCGAGAGGTATTCCAGGCGGATGGTATCACCCACTTCACTTCACTTCCGCGTAGTTACGGTCAGCGCTAAAGTTTCGTGCCGCGACTTATATAAGGTTTTACACCACTTTCACTCAAGTGTCCTACGAGGCAGCGCAGATAAGCTGTGCCGCCAAGCTGGGCCGTGACGTTACTAATGGAGTTATTAGTAGTGACGTAAGCCACTGTGAACAGCAACGTCAGCATTTTTATTGAACCTTGAAGACTTATGCCTCGTTCGCTCAATTATCCCACGAAACAGTGCAGATACGCTGTGCCTCCTAGCTGGGCTGTGACGTTGCTGATGGAGTTATTGTCTGTGACGTCAGCCACGGTGAATAGTAATTTATATGACTTGTCAGCATATTCATTCAAACTTTTAAATTTAAAGAAGATTATATAAGGACATACGCTCCTTTCACTCAAGTGTCCCACGAGGCAGCGCAGATAAGCTATGTCGCCAAACTGGGCAGTGACGTTACTAATGGAGTTATTGGCTGTGACGTCAGCCACGGTGAATGGTTATGTGATCTACAACTTTTCAGCCTTTGTTTGAGGTGTTTGAACCTAAAGTATGTGGTAAAAGGACTTACGCCTCGTTCGCTCAAGTGTCCCACGAGGCAGTGCAAATATGCTGTACCTCCCAGCTGGGCAGTGATGTTACTAATGGAGTTGTTGGCTGTGACGTCAGCGCTGGGCTGTACCCCACCTCGCCAACCCCTCGCACGGGATGTACCGTGGTGACCTGCGGAATAGACAGAAGTATATTAATTTTGAAGAGCTCGATGGTGCAAGTGGTTAGCGCGTTCGGCTGCGATCATTGAAGTTAGGCAACTTTAGCAGTGGTCAGTCTTTGGATGGGTGATCAAAAATTTACTGTCTGGAGCTTCTTCGTGCTTCGAAAGGCATGTTAAGCCGTTGGTCCCGGCTGCATCCGCAGTCGTTAGCACCCAATAATCCGCACTGGGACCGCGTAGTGGATCATGGCCCAATCTCCCTATTCCAACCATAGGGAAGCTAATGACATATTAATAGACTGCTAATGATAATAATGATGATATTAATTCATTATTAATCTATTTTGCTTATAATTTTAGGCACTATGTGAAATTAATGTGATTTTTTAAATCAGTGTCATAAAAATCGGTTATCAAATATATAATCCGCTTATCCCTGTTGCCTACCACGATTCTGAGAAAAATTAAGGTTTTTTCGTTAAATATTAAAATATTAAAAAAAATTCGTCGATAAATATTTCTGTGTTTTTTCTATAATTGCACAATTTAACCACAACAGAGCTAAACTCTCATCTGATAGGGCGTAAAAGCACCAACGTAGCTATTACCACAGTTACTGGGTAGTTTTGACATGCAGACTAAAATACTTTATACAAACATTTTTAGAGTAATCTTTCGAAATAATATCATCAAAACAATGTTAACATCAGAAAACCTAACCTTAAACCTTTTGCCTACTTAATAAACTTTTTTTAAAAGTAGGGTAAAGCAGTTGAATACTCAACTACTAATAATACAAAACAAAAAATACTAACACAAAACCTGGTACTATCAAGGGACTTCTTGAACAATGGCGTGTCTTTACGAAAATAGTTTTGCACATTTCACGAATAAGAATGTCTGGGATAGAAAGAATGGCTAACAAGCATATTGTCCACCAGGTGTTTGTGATTTTAAACGATTTGTAAAACTTGTCGAGTGTGTATGAAAAGAGTTATGAACAAAGAAGGGAGCTACACGGCGGCCGACGCGGCTAGGAAGGAACCGAAACATTTTTGATTATCCTTTCATGCGCATAAGCGTGTGTGTGTGTGTGTGCGAGCAAGTGTGAGTGGGTGTGTGTGTTGTGTGTGTGTATGCATTTTTGCACGTGTGTGCATGTAATTGCGTGCGTATGATTTTGAATATCCGGCAAAAGTATACTCGGTTCACCTAAACGAGTATTGGAGTGCTTTCTTTATCACTCAATCATTTACAAAAGTTAAGGGCGGAAAACTGCGTCACACGTGAAAGGTGGCTGCCATTGACCGGATTTAGTAACTGTTAAAGTTTACTCTGGCCAATGGCAATGTATTAAACAGCATAACGACGTTACGCCAGTCAGTGGCGGATTTACCAGTAGGCTCAGTAGGCTGGAGCCTAGGGCGGCAGATTTAAGGGGGCGGCAAATTTGGCCAAAATCTACACAGAAAAACGAGTGACAAAAAATTTAATATTTTAGTAATGCACAGTATACTCAACACTGTTATGTCCGTAATCCGTATATAAAAGATTACTAAACGCACTGTAAAATATAGGTATGTACTTATGCGATCATGATTTTTTTAAATATTCCATTAGCGTTTCAATATTAATTATAATTTAAATTTAGTTATTTTTTAAACTAACGGGGAAAAGCCGACGTAATGTGGACGATAGAACACAAATCATAAAGTTGCAATTTCAGAATAAATATAATTGTGAACTAGCGTATTGAATTTCAAAGGTCAGTAGGGGAGGCAAAAATTTAATAGCCTATTAGCGGCAAATTTGTAAATCCGCCACTGACGCCAGTCGATAACAGAAATTAATTGTATCTATTAAATAAAACTACTACTTTGTCGAGCTAGGTTGTAGTAGAAGGTAGTTCGACAAAGTTAATAAAAAATCATTATTCTGACAATGCAGACCTGAAAAGGCTGCGAAACGTCAATAATTAAATAAAGTTCGTGCATGAACCCGTTAAAACTAGTTTTATTTAATGAATGATGTGCGTGAAAACCTAAGAAACAAATATGTATGTATTAGCTTGATTCCATGAATGGAGTTTATTATAAGCGCGATGCCAGTAGAAATCTTCAAAACATCAGCCCATTTTTGTAAATAATAAAATTGTGTAGTGTCCCAAAAAGGTGGTGGAACTAACTAAAGAGAGGGGGGGGGGGGGGAGAGAGCATGTACTGCTTCTATATAGAATGCTTATATTTCCAACATAACAAAACGGTAACGTGCTTCAATGAACTATTCCTGCCATATATCGTACAAAAAGTTAAGTAATTCTAAACAAAGTAATATATCAAATATAGAAATAATAGGAATTAAGTAAAGAAGACCTTACCCTTTCTAATTTCTTTTATCTTTTCCTGAGGAAAAACCTAATATAAGTAGTATTAACTTTTACCACTTAATAGTACTTATGATATATTTATGAATAATTTTTATTTTTTTAGGATGAAACTGCTTGATGTTTAAATCTAAAGAACATTTAACTAGGTTCGAGTCCCGTCTGCTGCCTGGTCCGCGTGGATTTTTTTCTAGTTATATTTTCTTTATTATTTAACTTGTTTGAATTCTACTGAACCATCTTCCGCTGACTAGCCGTCACACGCACCTAAGAATTATTCTGTATACATCAAAACACTTACGGATATCGCCCGTGGAGGATGTGAAGAGAGGCAGCATGCAGAAAATAGCCGCAGCAAGTGGCATGCCTACGCCGCCGGCCACTCGCCATTTCATCTGGAACAAAACAGAATTTAATAAATAAAAAATATACTGATAATTTGAGGACTTCCTCCTTTTGAAAGTCGGTTAAAAAGGTAGCTAACAAGTGCAACAGTATAGTATAGTTGAGGAGCTGGCGAACAAAACGGTTACTTCATAGTATAAAGCAAAGTCGCTTCCGGCTGTCTGTCCCTATGTCCCTATGTATGCTTAGATCTTTAAAACTTCGCAACGGATTTTGATGTGTTTTTTTTAATAGATAGAGTGCTTCAAGAGGAAGTTTTATATGTATAATACATGCATAATATTGTAGAGAAACACTGATAATTTTAGAGGTTTTTAATGTAAGGTCGTAAATAAACACATTTTTTGCGCTCACATTGCAAATGCTGGCTGAACCCTACGAGATAGATAAAAATAATGTACTACAGTATTGTACACCTTAAAAAGGTCTACAAAAAAGTCCGCGATGATATATGTCTATCTCTTAGGGATAACCCACAATAACCATTTTTTGTCCTATACTTTTTAGGAGAAATAATAGATTATTTACGAAGCGATTTTCAGCAATATAACATTCATCCTTATCCAATTAAGTACCTTAAATGCATTGTGCATTTAATATAGACCAATTTGGCCCTTTAACGCAAGTAATTTAAATGAATATTTTCGAAGATATTACAGAGTTAAAATGCAGGGACATAGCGGTTCCGACGCTACCGGGCGGGGGGCTTGGCGGCGCGTGCCTATTGTAAGTAGGTATTAGAAGAATGTCATTGTGTATAATACAAGCTTGAGAACAAAAAATTATATAAGTATAGTCTACACTACAGCTCTACACCGAAGCGAAGCGAGGGCGGGCCACTAGTAATTACATAAGAATAAATTTTACAGGAACTATATAAAACTGAATGACATACCGCCAGTGAGCTTTTGGCATGGTTTTTAATTGATAAATTTAGTAATTTGAACACTTTTAGCTAGGCGGTTTTAATTGAAAGTTATTTGAGATTCAAATTCAACGGACTGTAAAAAAAAGTAGTCTGATCAGATGCGTATTTATACCATTTTGTTCGCCAGCTACTCAGTTATGAAGATGATATGATAAAAATACTTGGCGCTTCATTCACCATTATATGTATCTCCGACCACGTGGTTAGCTATAGTTTTCAGTAACAGTAAAGTAAATATTATATTTCTTGACGAGTGCTCATATTTGAGTGGAATATATGCCTCGCCTTGCAATTATTATTTTATTTTATTTATAAAGGTACATTAAACAGCCAAAGGCCAGCAAAAATGTACACAGCTGGAATAACATAAGTAAACCTTAGTTACCAAAAAGAAAACATAAAAACAAAGAAAAAAAACATTGATGAAATAGTCTTCAATCCTAAGTGAAGAAACAAAGCGGGCGAAAGGAATGAAAACTTGATTTTACCAGAAAAAACTCACTAATTGGGTACAAGTCTAATAAACATTCATGTATCTGCAATCAACCAAAATGAAATAAAAATATGCATAAAATAAACAATAAATATGTAGAATACATATTTAAAAATTAAAAATTAGGACGGGGGGTAAAGTGTCAACCTCCAAGTATTTTTAAATTTCTGTTTTGATCCAAAAAATATATCTACGTCTCTAGATTTTGAATTGTATAAGTGTGACACGCGCGTTAGGATAGAATGGTTCCCATATTTTGTACGGTGCAATGGTACATGAAAATGATGACCTTTATGATGGCAAGGAACGTAATCTAGAGGATCGGGGGTTCTTTTCATTTTCAATCAGTCCATCACTGCAGATTTGTCTTAAATGTGTTTGTTAAGAACGGTTCTTTCAAATATCTTCATCTGTAGCCTAATACTATCCCCACTGCTGGGGTACAGGTCTATAGATGGAATAGGAAGTTTGGGCCGTGACTCCTCACGCGGGCCCAGTGCTGATTGGTGGGTACTAACGACTGCAGATGCAGCCGGAAACAACACCTATACGTGGCTTCGAAGCACGGTAGAGCTCGAGATAGTTAGTTTTTGGTCACCCATCCAATGAGAGACCATTGCGCGAAATTCAATTTAACTTTGACGAATGCAGACTGAACTCGCTAACCACCTGCGATTTTATTTTTGAGTGTGGTTGCAGTAGGTCGCAGATGACCTTTAGAGCGTCACCGGATTTGGGGACAGCGAGATCCTAAGGGGACCTAAACCGAGAATTGGCGAGTGCCTCTAGAGGTATTCCAGGCAGATGGCATTTCCCCAAGGGGGTAGTCTCCTCTCCGTCTGGAGCCTAGACAACTCGAACTCTGTGACTCGGACCTCGGCTCTAGTTAACCTGTTTGCGGCCTTTGTAGGAAAAGGTAGAGGCGCGTTGGCGCGCGTGCTTTCCTCGTTCCGACGAGGAAAGCAACCTAGGCACGTGTTAGAGTACCCCGGTACTCTAACACGTGCCTAGGCCGACGGAATCGGAGGGAAACCACATGCGCAATCGAGCTGCTCTTTTTTAGATGTATTTGATAGGTATCTAAAAAAAATATTGTAATAAAATTGATTATTGCCGAAATATCGGGAATGAAAAGTTGTTACTGAGTTCTTCGCAATGAATAAAAGCTTCTTGTTCATTTCATTTGTTTTATTTTATAATCAATTTAACAAAATCACAAAAGCGCCATCCTGCGATAATTAAGAGAGTGGAGGCGACAAATCGACCATAGATTATTAACATTACTCAATGAGTCAAAAGTCAAAATATCTTTATTCGAATTGGATGCAAAACACAACTCTTTTGAATCCATATTTTTTCGCCTACCACCAGTTAAGGAAATTTTTTTAGCAGTGGAGAAAAATTGGCGAAAAAAATTACACAGCGTTAAAGTGAAGTAACTTCCTAAATAAATAAACACAACAAAATCTCAATAGAGATGGGCGTTTTTAGATATTTGTGATATCGATGCGCATCGATATCAGATAAATGGCATCTGATGCCGGCATCGATGCAGTGAATATCAGTATCATAGTATCACAGGATGCGATGCGATACGAATAACGACAGATGCGTGTTTAGGGTAACGTTGACACAAAATAGGTGGCATCGGCATCCAATAACGGTACCCAGTCGCATCGGATGCGCGCATCCAAACCTGGCATCGTTATCACGTTCACGCATCATTATTCTAAAAACGCCCACCCCGTGAAATGCGGATAGATGCATGTTTTGTGTGGGTGTGTCCCTTGGATTCATGAATCATGACTTGAAAATGCAAACGAAACCATATATTTATTTTCGGCATAGTAACTGAAAATATTGAATGTTGGCAAAATTATTACCTGAAAAGTTGCACTCAGAGCGTTGGTTTTGAATGCAGACCAGTGTCACAAACTTTTCTGTGCCAGTGGCAAAAATTTGAACTACAATTTATCCATAGTATTTTGACATATTTGTTTACCGCTAGCAGCATCTCCACCAGCACAGATAAGTTTGTGTTCTAAAAACGCCCACCTCTATATCCCAACAGGAACCTCATATAAATTTATGCAAGGTTTGTGACCCAGCCAGTTTCTGAATAAACTTATTAGCGTAATGCGGAAAACATATAAAAACGCTAATGAAAAACATACAAAACAAAGTTTTGCCTGAAGATAAAAGATATCATTATATTAGTCGTTGTTTTTACAATGTCTCTTTTTGAGTAAAAAAATGATATAAATACGGAAAGGACACGGGCAACCTCGCTCCGTACGAAAAACGCTATGATGACGAATGACTGTAACATTTTATTCGACTCAATGTTTTTGCAAGTCGCTGTGTTTTTTTTTTCTATTCGTTACTGAATCCATTTGTCTCCACCCATCGCACAAAGTATTGCGTGCGAACGAATTCCTTCGCAGCGGGGTGTTTTCAAAGTAAAGAACGATAGTGAAAATAGACTTCAGAAAATAACGTGATCAGAAGCAATGTGAGTAGGTAGGTACGTAAGATCCTAACTAATGTTCTATTAACAATAAAATAGGTACAATAGTTATTGGCGGTCTAGACTTCCAAGGTTCTGAAATGGACTGAGAAACTTGGCGTTTTTTTTTCGTTTCAATGGAAAAATATAATAGATAAAGCTTGAAACAACTTAATTTACAACAGTTTCTGCTTTTCATTCTGTATAGAGCACGACAATGATACACTGTTTTCAATTTTAATTTAAGGTTTCGAGAATTATACCAGAATCGAACAATGGTATCCAAAAAATGTTTTCATTTTAGAAGTAAGTATAGTATTAAAAATTATATTCATGCTATTAATAGAATATTCTCGAATCCCTCACAACTTTGCCATCGAAAACTAATATTATATTTTAACTGATTTTAACGTGATCACAATGATATTCAATTGTATACAGAAAGACAGATCATAAATAAACTATTGATCCATATAACAAGACTTAATATAATTGGTGTATTCATTGTCATGTTTACCAAAAAAATATACGCAAACGATTGCTCCCTTATATAAATCTGAGATAAACATTTTATATAAAAATACAAAGGATAACGGAGCATCCTCCCAAATCACGTATCTGAATATCCTCAAGCCAAAACATTCCGGATCCTGCTACGCGCACAGTCTGAATACAAAGTGTACTTTTTCAATGAAAGACAAGATCCCGCCGGTGACGTCTTTAACTAACTCCAAATCAGTTTCCGTCCCATTGGCTGTTGCCAATCAGTTGTTAGGGGGCTATTGCAAACAAATCACAACTTTGATGAGTTCTTGCTTTTTTTTCTCCCTCCCGCTCGAATTTCGACGAACCAGTGACGGACGCGGTAACGGGTACCGTCACGTGATACTTTACCGAGTATTCGACTTCCTAGTATCGTGAAGTTTAAAGGCTTTATATTTGTGGAACTTTTTCTCGTCAATGTGATATCGTGTTTACTGTATATTGACATAATTTATGGTGCCTTCAGAAGCATGCGATTAAAGAGCTCTGCCGTTTAGCCGTCAAGCAAACAAGACGCTGAAAAGTTGTCCGTCTGAG